TTGACTCTGAGAATGCCATAATAGAATATGAAATAACATAACAACTAAAAATCATATTGCACTGGTCATGTATGACCTTTCTTTCCTGCCATCAACAGGTTAAGCATGAAAGCATCCATCTTTGTTATAATAAACTTACTCATATCATGTGAGTCGTAGGGCACAGTCCTATGCAAGAACCTTCTCACTTGGAGAATCTTACCCCAGTGCTTATGGATAGCAGAATATGCATGCTATGTCCACTGTATTTAACCCAATAACATTGGATGGTATGAACATACATAACATGGCTGTTGTGGGCAAAATAGCAGGTGGCATATATTATGACCATTCCTGTGCCGTCAGCTCATCAGACAAAGCTTGTTTTTCTCCAATATTAGCAGCAGCATTTCTATGGTATAACTTTTAGGCAACAGCATCCGAAGTAAAGGTAAACCTACTAATTTTTATATTTTTAAAAATCATATCTAAATAAAAGCTTTTAGGTACCTAATGTTGGTCACAAGCTACCAAACAAGGTGGAGGCAAACAGAGGCAACTGTTGATGCATGCCAACAATCCCACAATAATGTCCATTTGCCAAACTTTTTAAACAGGCATTATTTGGTTAAGTTTATTAGTTATTTACAAATATATGGCTCAACAAGTACCTAGTCACCAAGCAGTCAATTCATAGCCCTATCTATGTTACCTGTTTAAGCCTTTCCTTGATTTTTGGAGATGCACTTTAATATTGGAGAACCTATTAATATTCTTAACTACTTAAGCTCAGGTTCCACTAGTCAAACTCAGACCTGGTCCCAGGGCCATCTTTGATTGTTCAGCTCTTGGTTTTAATTCCAAAATGGCAATAATCTTGATCACATAAAAAATCAGGTAAGGCTCATGGATTAACATTAAGTAAAACCTATTACTTTTCAAGATAAATTAGTAAATTAAGCATATAACACTCACCTAAAAGTAGAAGTTTAACCTCTTTTGCTGCACGTTCACCAGCCAGTCGTAAATCTTTGTCTATTTTCTTGCTTCTCTCTGCTGCTTCCTTGTCAGCAGGATTGCTCATTGCACAACCCATGGCTGCTGATGGAAGTTATGGCAGCCCCTTGAAAAAGATAAAAGAGAAAATCTATATAACAGATGTTAACTGCTATTGACATGCATTACTCACACATAATAAATTTTAAATAATAATAATAATAATAGATACATATATATATATATATATATATATATATATATATATATATATATATATATATCATACATATACATATATATATATACAGTAATACATCAAAATACTTCAGTATCTTAAAATCCATAAAAATTAGTATCACTGGACTCCTCATTATGTCTAGTGGGTATCTAGTAATTTTTACACAGAAATAGGCTACACTACAAAACTTGATAGATGGAAAGACCTGTGGTATCATCAGGAAAATAGTGGGGTTAGTTAATGCAGTATCTACATATCTGCTTTTGTTAGGGGGCACTAAACCCAACTTCACGGGAAGCTGCCATCCCTTGATATGCAAGGTGGCACGAGTAAATACCCGTCAAGACAAGCTTGCAGACAATCAAATTTTGATTAGCTATCTATCATTTCTACTGACTATTTCAGCTATATTTCTTTATTAGACATTTATAGTTCATTGATACCAAATTCCATGAGTTTTAAATCATTGGATATGGGTATGGGTACCTCACTTGCACAGTGGCTCAAAAACCCAGGTATTAGGCTTACCTGATGGGCAACTCTCCTGAGTGTGAAGCTTATAGACCTAACTTACACAAACACTCATGTGCAGTGTAAAGCCTCCTTGCCTAACCTTCTCAATGATATCAAGCCAGTTTGTTAAAGGCCTAACCCAATGAATATTCATTATACTAACATGCATATCATGCATATACATGTAAATAAATGCATATCCATCAGTCTAGACATGTACATCTACCAGATAGATAGATCGAAAAATGTATATCTATCAAACAGATAAACAGATATGAATTTATTTCTGTGTATATGTAAGTCTGTACATATGAATATTAATTGGGTTGGGCCATGACAATTTTAACAAACTAGCCGATTTTCTCTTTTTGCTTTTTTCCCCATTTTGCAAGGTCATTCAACATGCTGAATCAAGAGGGCAAAAGGCTCTTTTCCTTGCACAAACTTCATATCATCTTCTTAGTAGTCTAACTCTATGCAATAACAATAACAATAAGAAGTAACATTTTATTTGTGTATATATGCATATGTATATATATATCATACCTTTCTTTCTCTCTTATTTTATGTCCAATTTTCTATAATACACCCTGTGGTGCCAGTCATGGCAGGCAGGAATAAGACCTAGGCATGGAAATAGTGTCCTCCCTGTAGCTGGCCCTCTTCCAGTTGTGGCTCACAGATATTAAGTACATTCTACATTTGTTTACCGATGGGAGTAATGCAATAGACCCTTCCCTAGTGCCCATGTAGTCTAATCTATCTCCAAGAACTCTGTACACTCATGGGAAGTTATTCCCATCATGCCAGCTTTCAGCCAAATTTTTCAAGACGGCATATTCTTCTCACCCAGTCTTTAAGCAGAATTTTCCATGATGGCATATTCCTGTCACCCAGCCATCAGCCAATTCTTTATCATGACAATGAGTATAGCTACTACCAGACAATTTATAAAACCAGATGATGGCCATCACTAATTTGTTGATAAAATGACAAACATACATTTAATGAAATTTGTGCCAACATCCAACTTGTCATTTTTTCTTAAACATGAAGTGCTTGCTTGCTAGTCACCTAAGTGCTCTAATAGCTATAAATAAAGTATATAGTTTCAAAAAATTTTACTAATAAAAGTAACAAGATAGTAAGATGGACATAATCAAATATTACACTTTTGTGGCATCGCCCTGCAGTACAAGGTAAAATTTGCCTATAAATGACAGAATGATGAAAAATAAGATGCTTTTCATCTATGGCATTACCTTCGCAAATTAAAAATAAGAAAGTTGTAGAACATGGAGAACTTTGATATACAGGAAAATATTGACACAATAACAATCTTAAAGAAAATCTACACTCACTAATATATGAAATTATCTCCGTAGGTAAACTATAATATCAGAAATGAAGAAAATAGGTCTCTACAAATGCTTCAGAGAGAATACGGCCATGATGATTAGGTGGAAATCCAGGGATGGAGCCCCCAATAAGTAAATACACCGATCAGATTGGGGTCTGGGGACAAAGTTCATTGGTTAGGAGTTTGTGGTTCATACAGGAATGTTTGTGGATTTCCCAGGAATGGCTGGAGTAATTGGGACTTATCTCTCAGAGGGACAAGATCACTTCATAAACATTTCTAATTCTTTAATTCATATAATTTGGGATAGAAAATAAAAAGAGATTCACACCTAAATCAGTGCTGAGAATTGAAAGAAGGAATAAAAATTGCAAGATAGGATGGTTATGTGAAACTAAAAAACTACTATCAAATTTGTGTTAGATATGGTAGAGCCAGAAATTATATATTTCTAAAAACAAATATATAACTAAACCTTCACATAATGATAAGCTAAATGGCTTTTTTTCATCAACTTCTATGGTATGCACCTTGCTGCTCAAAAAGTAATTGCATAAAGGCATAAACTAGACTGGGTATTCCATGAAATTGTCCATAAAATACAATCCATCAAGTACATTTCTTTTGGATTTGCTAAACAAGATATTGATGGACCACACTTTATATGTATACAAATGTTTCATATTATCTCACGTATCACTACTTGTGTGAGATATAATGACTTAGTCAACAGCTACATGCGTATGTCATCCTATGTATTTCAAAAAGGACTCCAATTCACAAAGTGATACGTCAGATATCTAAAAAATAAAATTTGGCCACCCAATGAAAAGGGGTCATGAGCCAAAGGTTGAAAAACAGGGTAATTCTTTATAGTATGGACATACTTATAAGAGACTATCAGCTGATTTGTCAATATTGTGCAAGGGCCGACACAATAAATATTCAAATATATAGACAGGCATAAACAAATACATAAGTATATATATGTCATTAGACTTGTATACTACCAAATAGATAGATAGGTAGATTTGACAGATATGGATTTATTTCTTTGTATATGAATGGTATACAGGTATACATGGCAGGATAGAGCTGAAACTCCTGAGTACCAAGTGGCTGTGTGCAACGTTTTCAACAAACTTTTCTCCTTTTGTGTGACATTACCATTCATGCTTGCAGATTATCTGTTGTACCAACAACTTCAGCTTTCTATCCTCTACAAGAAATCATCTTCAATCTGCCCTACCTTAGTATGACCATACCATAAATATTAACTAAAAAAAATGTTAAATTTAAAATTTAGGAATTTAGCTTTATGCATCAATGCCCTTAAAGATATGCAAGTACATGCACACATCAGACCATTATATTCAAGTTCATTTTCATGACTCAAATGAGAGTGTTAATATAGCCTACTCATTTATTGAAAAAATAAATAAATATGAAATAAAAATAAAGATAAACAAAAACAAACAAATAAATAAAATCATAAGTGAGATTATCCATTACGAAAAAGAGGTATACTTTCAGTTTCCAACATTTATGAAGCACAAAATAAAATTTGCCTGTAATGGACAGTGACTGAAAAGAAGACACTTTTCATATATGGCATTACCTTTACAATTTCATAATGAAGAAGTTGCACACAACATTAATAATTTGTATATACATTTGCAGGAAAATGTAATAGCACTATAATAATCCAAAAAAAAACTACACTCATTAACACATCATGTAATCTGCCAATTGGATGGGGGTCTGGGACAAAGCCCCTTATTTAGGAAGGTTTTTGGTTCATAAGGCAATGTTGTGGATTTCCAAGGATGGCTGGAGTAATTGGGACTTTCATCTCAGAGAGCCATGATCACTTCATAAGCTTTACCAATACTTTCATTTATTTCATTTGCC